CCCCCCCCCCTTCCGAGGGAAAAGAATTTCTTGAGGATTCACTAGCTGGACCAGATGTAAAGAACTTATATGAAAGCTTCTTAATATAATAAATTATGTGGATTATACATTATTTAAATAATGGCTCTCAGGTATAGGGTGAGGGGACAAAATGAGGGATCAAAGTTTTACATAAAAATATATAGGAATAATATTTCAAAAGCATTTTTCAGAAAAGCAGGCCATGATTAGTAACATCAGTAATGTAAATAACGCAAGTATCACCATGTAGTACCGATTCAAGTTCATTCAAATTACGGTCTCTAAGGGTAGGGTGGGGGACACAATAGTAGATTTTAATTGGGAACATATAAGAAAACAACTTTAAAAATCGTTTTCTTAGTAACAGCTGGACCAGGCCATGATTATTATATTAATATGAGCATATTCAGGAAGTGAAGAGCCACTGTTCTGGGGGATATTCTCATGATTTGGTCTATCGTAGGACTCAAAGCCAAAACTTCAGTTTTAATATTCGCCATTTTTATATCACTGATCTAGTTATGTTTTGATATTTTTTCTGTCTTCTCTGATCATTTAAAGTCAGTAATAAATCTAAACACAATTGAACTGTTTTCCGATGCCGTAGCGTAAATAAAAGCAATAATTTAAAGTCTCTTAGAATTTACATTATTTCATTTCAAATGCTCGGGAAACTGTCAAAAATTACGCAAACGCTCTGAACTTCTCAAAATAACGTCTTCGTATAGATGGTGTCTTGAAATATGGTCAAAATGACGGCTTCGTTAATAGTGACTTGAAATAGGATAATTTTACTGCGATCTGATTTACTTCATGCGGCTTATTTTGACAAAAACCTGTATTCCCTAAAGACGCCCTTTTTCCCTTTGCCATGCGACGTATGATAATACCCCGCATATATTCAGGCATAATAAAATCCTTTTTATTGTCAATATGGTTTTAAAAAAATCAATTAAATTCAAATATGATATTAAAACTCTTGCTGAAAATATCAGCTCATTGCGCATTATATTTTTAGTAAAAATTCTTTGTGCACAATTTTACCCGACAACCCTCGTACTGAACCCGTTGTTTAAATTTTCGCTTATGTTCGCTACTAAGGCTGATCATGAGCTGCTTTATGTTGATCAATTCTTTCGCAAATGATTTTGATGAAGGCTATCGATATGCAGTAGATATACTTACTTTTAGCACTGTCTTTGCATTTAATTTTTCAAATATCACGATTGGTTTTATACCCGTCATAATCAAGGTACCCAAAACTTGTGTTGAAATAATTTAAAAATAATGGCATTAACCAAATTTTGGGTATGTTGATCCTGTGCTAGAAATGCTGATTCTATGCTAGTAATTTTGATCCTATGTTAGTAATGTTGATCCTAGGCTAATGATGTTGATCCTGTTTTAGTAATGTTGATCCTAGCTAAGCTACTGATGTTGATCCTATGTTAGTAATACTAATGCTAACCCTATGTTAATAATGTTGATCCTATGCTAGTAATGCTTATCATATGCGAGTAATACTGATCCTATACTGGTGTTGCTAATGCTAATCACACACTAGTAATGTTGATCCTATGCTAGAAATGGTGGTTTTGTTCGAGGGATTGCTATTTGCTGATTAATGCTCATGTTGGTAATTCTTAATGCTGAGTTTTCTCATATCTATGCTGATTTATGTATTTAAACATAGAACATGTTTTATACTTAGATTTTTTTATTATTATTATTTTTTTTATATAAAATACTGAACATTCTTAAAATATAAAGTAAGTGCATTGTAACCAATTAATGCATTTTATTTTAACAGAACCTACAGTATTTAAAGTAAGTTGGAGGGCAATTATAAAACCTTAGATCCGGACAAAAGTAATGATGATGATATTGTATTCTGAAGTTATTTTGAAAAAAAAAATGTATGGATGTTACAATTTATGAAAACTAGAATTTCCCAATGAACACGCTTGTGTCGTCTGCCTTATTATAATTTAAGATGTTAAAAAAAGAGTAGTTAGCTATTCACTTAATTACTTGTTTTATAGTTCATGCGATTGCCTGCAAAAAAATGTGACAATCAAAGAGAAATATTTCTCATCAACCCTCAAAGCTAAAATGAATAATGAAATTGTTATTATCAGAAATAATAATTCATGTATTCTATTCATACGTGTTTAATTCAACAATTCCTGAGATTGGTTACATGCCAAAATATCAACACATATTTCTTACAGTTCTCAAGATATAAAGTGTGACAGACGGACGGACAGACAGACAGCTAGACAGACATACAGACCGACTGACAGATGCTGGGTAAAGTTATCCCAAAGTGTCGTCTGCTCTGCAGGCAGAACAAAGAATTTGTTTCGTGAAGGACTTCTTAAATAGACCTATAGAGTGAATTTAAGGGTGAATTTCACCATTGAAAAAAAAAATGTGTGAATTGAAAAATATGTGTTTGGATGGCATACTACTGGGCAAATTTCAAAATATATCGATACTTGGGTCACGACCTTGTAATCTGATAGTAATCAATACAGAGAGGGGGGGGGGGGGGAGGAGAGAGAAATCTTTATTTAATATATGTAAGAAACTGCCATTTCCTTGAGCTTTGCTCTGTGCGAAATAAAAGTATGTAGGTAATAGATATGTGCATAGACTAGAGGGAGGAAAGCAATGCTCAGACAATACGCTCGTTGAATCTTTTTGGAAAAGCTTAGCGTGTTTTGCAGTTGCATTCTTGAGACACCTTGTTGAGCACATCTAATCTACAGACGGTATCATCCATTGTAGCTGAATTGGACGGACACACTTGGGCTGTAAACGTTCTTACACCTTATTTGAAGATGGGCGAACAAGAAGAGGGAAATGCCTTTAGTGTAACAAACATGAAGATGAAAAATTAAATCTCAATTATTACAAAATTTTCTTTGATATTTCATCTAACATAAAAGTATACTATATGTAATAGACTGAAATTATTTGCCTATGAAATAGCATACACACACTAAAGAGGGCAAAAAGGATCATTTTCTCTTACTATAACACAATTTATTTTATACGAATGGGTCTTCGCTCCATTTTTTTAAAGTTAACCCTCAAAGTTTACGCAAAAATACATATATTTTTGGATAACAAGACCCACTGTACCATAAAAATACACTTTTATGACAGAACATTCGCATCTTTCCGGAAAAAAAATATTAAGTCTGTATAGTCAAGGGTCATATCACAAACATGATTTAAATGCCAGTATTCTTTAGGAGTATAGGTAATGGTTAGTGTGTTAGTCTCTAGGATAAAAACAGTCACGGTAGCTCGGTCGGTAGAGCGCTCGCTCCGTGATCGGGAGGTCGTGAGTTCGAATCGCTGCCGCGACTGACCTAAGTCGATAAAAAATAGGTAGCAACAGTTTTCTGTTCCTCCGCCATGTGCTCGGCACTTTGAAATGAAAGTTGCGGATCCTTCGTCTGAGACCTTAAAAACCGAGGCCCCGTGTCACGGCAGGCGTTGGCACGATTTAGATCCCTCACTGCTCAATGGTCCAGAGAGCCGAGTAAAGGTCTAAATTTGAAGTCCTTCACCGGTATATGGTGCCGTCTCTATATGAGTGAAAAATTCTCGAATGGGACGTAAAACAACATACAATCAATCAATCTTCAAGGCACTTTTTATTATTGTTATTTTGTTCCTGTTTAGACTCTCTCTCTCTCAGTTTCTTCTTTCTCTTCCGAAATTGGTTGGTCAGTTTCTAAAAAAAAAATGGATGTTGATTATTGAAATATGTTTTAATTTCTAGGACATTTGTCCCTATATCATTTTAATTTGGGCCCGTTACATATGGTAATTAATTTGACCTACATTCTCAGAAAGCGTCTTCTTTTTTTTTAAATTTTATCTTTGTCTTTTTTGCCATTTTTTTTCATTGTTAAGGTAAGACAAATGGGTTATTTTTTTTTATTTATCCACATCTCATACTTTATATCAATTAATGTTTTTGACTAAAAGTTTCAATAAAATGGTTATATATGAACAGAAGTATATTATGCAATTTACCATTCACGGTAGCTCAGTCGGTAGAGCGCTCGCTCCGTGATCAGGAGGTCGTGAGTTCGAATCTCGGCTACGACTGACCTAAGTCGATAAAAAATGGGTAGCAACTGTTCCTTCGCCATGCGCTCGGCACTTTGAAGTAAAAGTTGTGGGTCCTTCGTCTGAGACCTTAAAAACCGAGGCCCCGTGTCAGGCAGGCGTTGGCACGATAAAGATTCCTTACTGCTCAATGGTCCCGAGTGCCGAGTAAAGGTCAAAATTTGAAGCCCTTCACCATATATGGTGTCGACTCTATATGAGTGAAAAATTCTCGAATGGGACGTTAAACAAATACAACCAATCAATATCTTGCAATTTAACAGAAATCTCTGCCTGTACATTGACATCTAAAACAAAGATATAAGATTCCATATGTTTTAAGCCCTACCTGAACAAATCATGTAGGGATGATGATCAAGGGATAACCGCTACCAGACGTTCTTCTTATGCTGGATTTGACGTATATTTTCCACATGAGTGAATATTAATCCTACCTGAGCGAAACAATGCATGGATGACGTATTTAGGGACGCATAATACCAGACTTGCTTTGGATCCTGGATCTGACCTACATTTTCCAGAGTGACCAGAGTATCTATTTAACTATATAACCTGTTACGATTTAATTTGCATGGTTGACGCAGCTAGGGATGGACACTACCAAACTTGCTTCGTATGTTTGATCTGACCTACATTTTCTGGATGAGTGAACAGGTTAATGTTTTAGGAGCGGGTCCATTCTAAAGTAAATGTAGGTCCTACTTTAAGCAAACTTGCATGGAAATTTATCTTGGGATGTATACAAACTAGAAAAAAAAGGTGTGAGATTTGCCTTATTTATAATTATGTAGTCAGTGGTAGAACAACTCAGAGATTGGTTCAGGGTTCGAAAATTTTAATAATGATGGTAATGGAAAACACAGGAATATTACAAAAACATATAGACATCACAAGACACAGACATTACAGACGAACATTTAGACAGGAAACATAGTAGACTTTACATAACATAAATCATTCTATTCTTCTTATAAGGACACGCATGGGCACAGGATACAAATATTGCTTTCTGTACATAGAAGACAGTTCTGATTGGTACATCTACCCAGTTGAACCGCTAGCCTGGTAAAGAAAGCGGTGATTTGGTGTGATCATCTGTCCAGTGCCTAAAAGTAACATAACACATTTACACAAACTCTTGCATACCTCATACTCCCATATACTACCTTGTATACTATAAAGTAGAATGTTCAAGTTTATATTTATTGCTTGAACACTATACAAACACAAGTTGTTGACTATAATTATTATACCGTATACCTTAATATATTGTATAAGACCACACATGAATGAAGGCTGGAGTGGTGGCTTACTCTAATTAGTGCACTTGATCCTTTTTTTGTCCACCCCTCCACCAACGCGCTTATCCACTGGCTTATTATATTAATACTGTGGTCGAGTTTTGGTGTCAAAGTCTAATATATGATGGTAAAGAGGAAATTAGTAGACACACTTTATATGACCTTCATTAAAACTTTGAGATTATGAAATATTAAATCAACATTCGAAACAGCAAGGCTTAAGATTGAACGTTGCATATTTATTTTGAAATTTTAAAATTATTTTGATGTGAAAATTTGCTTCTAGTAAGACAGTGTAATCTATAGAAGTATTTTGTCTTTCTTTACACTTAGAGTAAAACAATCAAATCACTTGCACCTTATATATGTTAATTTAAGGAAATGCACATGGCCCGGGCTTTAATTAATAACTATTATTAAGGTCTTCCGTTCCAACGGAAGACCTTCTACTGATTCTGATGGTTAAGATTATTATTCTTTTTTTTCTTCTTCTTTTTCCTAGACACCAACTTTGAGACCTCATATCTCGCTCATTTCTCAACGGATTTTGCTGAAATTTGCTGGGTTTATAGACGTTACAAAACTCTATCAGAATGCTGTCAAACAATTCAAAAAGTCACTTCCGCTTTTGAGTTATTTCCCTTTAAATGAAAATTTAGGAGGCTTCAATTCCAGACAAAGGCTTCAAGACTACAAAATCTGGAACAGAAATTCTACCGAATTTGAATAATACAAGGATTGAAGTTGTGCACATCGGTTTTTGTTTTTCGATTTCTGTATTCAAAATGGCGTTATATAGGGGTCAAAAATTAGAACGCCTAAAAGAGCGAAAATTTAGACATATTTTCCATTGTATCTTTAAAACTAAAAATATTTTGATAAGACATGTAGAATAAAAGTTGTGCACAATTTTAAGGCCTTTCATTTGACACCACTAAAAAGGGGCTGGCCCTTCCAATTAGGGATCTGGAGCCCTTTAAAGTTTTTGCTTTATAACTCAAAAACGGTAAATATTTCGAAATGGCTGTCGTTAAAAAAGTTGTTCTTTAACATCTTATTGATCTCATGAAAATGTTATTTTGTTCGAGTCTTGTGTTTTAAATGCGCCAGAAGCTTGACCCATTTACAGGTAACTGTTTTCATTCAGCAAGTAAACGAGAGCTCTTCATGCGTGTAACTAAAATAAACTTACTATTAATAATAAACCTGGCTACATTAGATGCTAATATTCTTTAGAATAAGGTTCTTGAAGTGTTTTGTGCTTTATTTCCAAGTTATTTTTTGACAATTTTTTCCTTTTATTTCGGGTTTTTTTTTCAAAGTTTAATAAACCAGTCTACTAAGAAAAAGGAAAAAAAGAAAACCTTTTCTTCTTATCATATAAAAACAAACAATATAGTGAGAAAATAAAAAAACATAACTTTGAAGCATAGACTATTCACAGCCATTAAGTGCACACCTTTTACATTCGCCTTGTGTGTTTACAATTAGGTAACACCTCCCTCGATAGCGTGTGGCAAAGGAGGTCACCGGGGATCAATCGGCGTGTGATCCAGCGACCTAGTCATACACAAAACAAATCATAGAATGGCCTTTCCAAATTCATTTTATAAACTAAGTTATGAGTGGATAAATATGTTGAATCTTTCAGATTATTTCATATCTTTGATTAAATCGCTAGTGCATTTCATTTAATATTTTATTCGCTGAATTACAGGAAAGTTGCATAATTATTTTTATAAACAATTTATTTCTCGATATCGAGGTAATTGTCTGTTTTATTCAAAATAAAATTCAAAACATGTTACCTTAATTAATTCCTACTAGTAATGGAACTTTTGAAACTTAAATGTACATGTATGTAATCTACGTTCTTTTTTAATTGACAGCGTTTATGAACAGGTGTTAAAACACAGGCCTTTGTAAACGGTAAATCACAAAAAAAGAAAAATCCGAGACATAAAAAACAGAAAATATAAATGTCTCTGGAAATAACATCGCCTTTAGATAACTAAAATAAATTAATGTCCGCCGATTTTTGAATTAATCCGAACATTCATTGATGTGTACCTGTACAGGCAGTGTGTCACTTTTTTGAAGCCTTCGGCCAAACGAACAATATAATAAATCTTGAATGAATTAACTAACCCCTTCAGTACAAACACATTCGCCTACACCTGAAATCTAATCAAAATCAGATCTTTTTACGGCCCGAAATTCTGATAGTCGCTGTATTTCGAATCTGATTGACTATACATGTCCCTTTAACAAATATTCTTTAATTTTCTTCGGGACCCCTGCATCACTAGTCAGGTGCTGTACCGACTGAGCTATCCAGGCCGATATCCACGACCCAAACCACTACAGTTTTATTAACTAATATCTTCATTTTCTTTTCTTTAAATCTTTTAATATTATTATTATTATTATTATAAATTTTGTAACTTAATTATAAGAAATCCATGCACGTGTTCCACGTGTCAATTATTGTGATAGAAGTACTTACTATATGTGACCTGATCATAATGCATTCATATTGGTCAACTCTGTGATGCATGGTGTGTATTTATCAAACCTTTCAAAATCCTTCCTCTTGACTACATCTTTAAGTGTATTAAAAAGTCAAACGACTTTCTGTCAATTTTGAATATCGCCACCGCACGTATATTCTGAACTTTGATTACCAATTTCATTATTTTCATCAATAATACATACTCTTTCAGCCTGTCATTTTCGGATTTTTAAAAGCTAAGCTTCACACAAAAAATCACGGACTTCTTGTTGAGTTATAATGCAAACAAACGACTGAAGCATCTAGAACACAAGAAGGGTGGGTGGGGTGCATAACTACATTTATAAAATAAAAAAAGCAAAGGCGGATCCAGGGCTGGCGCCGGGCGCACCCCCCCCCCCCCGTTTGAATTTTTTGTATGTAGAACTTATATGTCCATTATCCTAAAATCAAGGAAAAAACATCTCTTACATGTATTTGCAAAAATTTGTCAACTTCTGGGGGCTTCGCCCCTGGATCCCCACCAGGGCTTTGTCATAGACCCACTGGGGGCTTTAATGCACCCCCCGACCCCTCCCCTGCCTTCTACTTTGTCCCCCGTTATGAAATTCCAGGATCCGTCACTGCAAGGGGCATAATAAGCAAGAATAATACAGCTTTGAAGGGATGTGATCTTCGGTATTGGTACTTTTACCTATGATATATACACAAAGACCTCTAGATCTACAGGACAGAAATAAAGCTTGAGCGGCAGCTCGGCTTTAAAACATGTACATGTATCTACTTTTCGGTACAATCATAGAAAATTATAAGTATTTAGCAAATCCTTGCTACAAAGTACAAACACCATAATATTAAACTTGACATGTAACTAAAATTATTCCATCAATAATCCACGAACATAAATTAAAAGGATTATAAATATCTGTAGAAATTAAAAAGCAATTTGGAATTTAAAAAAAAACTGTCGGCGAGTTTCTTATTGCTGATATTGCATTGAACATGCCATTTGTTTGACAATCTCTATATATATGCCAGGACAGACATCTCTACATGTTACTTTTCAGGGACGTAGCATCGTTTTTGAAAAGGGGGGGGGGCAGCCAGAGAAAAAAAATTAACTTACCTGAAAAGACTTCAGAACCAAAACAAAAAAAAATTGCCCAAAATCCTATTTCCTGGCGGAAGGGGGTGGGGGCAACGGGACTATACTGCAACAAAAAGTGGGGGCCAACGGGACTTTCAATGAACATTACTAAAGTAAAAAAGTTAGGTCTGAAAAAAAGGGGGAGGGGAAGGCTGATGCTACATGCTTTATTTGATCTGCAATATCGTAAGTTACTTGACTGAATACCTCGGAGTCTCTCTTACCCTTTCGACAGCATTTTAGTTTGACCAACTATACAAAATTTAGCCTTTTGAGCAGTTGGCATTAGGACTTTCATACTTCACATCCGAAATTCTTTGTGACAAGACCTTTCTTTGGGAATAAATATTTTTGACCTTGTGCCCTTCATCTTGAAGTTTGACCCACTTTTTAAAAAATTCAACCTTGGCAATAGCTTTTGAACGGTTGGGACTAGCGTTTTTACATTCACAAGTGTATTCCTTGCGACAACGCCGTTCATTGGATATCATCAATTTTTACTATTTGACCTTGACCTTGGAGTTTGACGTACTTTAAAAAAAATTAAAAGTTTTGACTTTTTACCTTTGACCTTAAAGTTTGACCTACCTTTGAAACATTTTAATCTCATTCATAACTTTTCAACGGTTGGTGTTAGGGTTTTCATATTTTTACATGTGTGTTTCTTGTGACAAGACCCTCCCTTGAGTACCGATATTTTTTACTTTTGTCCTTGACTTTGGGGTTTAACCTACTTTTGAAAAAAAAAACGTTGACCTTTGCCATAACTTTTGAATAATTAATGCTAGGGCTTTCATATTTCAATGCCTATTTCTTGTGACAAGGCATTCCTTTGGACACAGTTAATCTATCCTTGACCTTAACATTTGACTTGAGTATTAAAAAAAAGATTAACCTTTGCCATACTTTTCAATAGTTTGTCCAAGCGGTTTCATATTTCACAGTTATATCCCTGAGACGAGATCTTTCTTTGAGTAACATAATTTTTTATCTCTTGACTTTGACCTTGGAGTTGGATACGGATTTGAGAAACTTAAACCTTTGCCATAAACTGCAATACCGGGGCATCAGTGTTTCACAAACACGTCTTGTTCAATATCCAAACTGGACAAAAACATTCACAATGAATCCTTAAATCATTGTGTGGAACCTGATAAATTATTTGACTCGATCTATGGTCTGAAAGAACATGGCTGAACTTATCCAGTCAAATAACTCACAGATTGGGATTTTTCTTAATCAGGGTGTGTCATGGTCTTGATGAAAGGTCATTTGGATGAGTTTGGATGAGAAACTATAAATTCGTTACCGTCTTTTTCTAGTGAAACATTGTTGGTATCATGCAGAGTGTGACATGGCCTAAACTCAAGTTCAAGGTCACTAAGGACAAGATATTTTGACTGGATGTATGAACCGTATGAACAAGTGTGAATTTGAGAAGTCAGTAATACACAGATGGGGTTTGCTCATAACCAGAGTGTGTCATGGCTTTCGCAAGGTCATTTGGACAAGTTCAAGATACCCTTACAAGATTGCTTATAACCTTATAATATGGCATGACCTTGACTCAAGGTCACTTCTTCCTGCCTGCAGCTCCAACGGAAGACCTCTCGTTGCTTTGCAACGAGCTCGGCTCTAGTTATTTAGTCTATTTATAGTCTCTATATAATCTATACAAGATTATCTACTATATATATTGTAGATATTAAAAAGATGCCTGAGTTTCTAATTAACAATATTTACATGTATGTAGTTTTTGGAGATCAGGTCTTCCAACAAGCTGTCAGACTTTCCATAGGTACCAATTGCGCCAGGTTTTTAGAGAAGCTATTTTTGTATTCATATTTTTAAAAACATACATGAGAAGAAGAAAAAACTTTCTGTGGCCTTCAACTCGACATTTACATGCAGATATATCGACGATCGACGTATTGTCAATTAACGATAGTTACTTTCATTTATATGTCGACTCGATATATCCCAGTAAACTTGAAATAAAATATACCAAAGAGTCTGGAACATCTGTTTCATATTTGGATATTTTACAAAGAAAGACAATAACGGTAACCTAACAACAAAACGTTCAGTTAAACGTGATGACTTAACTTTCTATCGTCAACTTTCCTTACTTATGTATACGTAACAATATGCCCTTGTCACCTTCATATGGGGTTTATATCTCACAGTTGATTTCTAAAACGAGGCAAGCTATTGACAAACAGGTTGATGAAACAAAGATATCAACATTCTCGCTTAAAGTCATCATTTCGTAAGTTTTATGGTAGATACAATGACATTGTCAGAAAATACAAGCTATCATTAAGTCGAATGCTGATTGACCTTTCTCATATTAATTGTTAGGCCATTATTTAAACGCTGAATTGTCTATGATTTTTTTTATTTACCCGATCATGATAATGAGCAGTTGAGTACACGGCGTGGGTGACCGGTCGAAAGGGGATGCTTACTCCTCCATGGCACCTGATTTCACCTCTGATTCCATATTGTATTCTGAGCTTGATTACTGTTCGTTATCTCCATATTTTATTTGTAGCTTTGTCTAATATTATGAATGTCAACTTCACTCCTATTGCAATAGTCAAGTTTTTTTTGTTTGTATGTTGTTTAACGTCCCTCTCGAGAATTTTTCACTCATATGGAGACGCCACCACTTGCCGGTGCAGAGCTGCAAATTTTGTCCTATACTCGGCACTTACGGCCATTGAGCAGTGAGGGATCTTTTTCGTGCCAGCACCTACTGCGATACGGGACCTCGGTTTATACGGTCTCATCCGAAGGACCGGTCTCCACGTCCCACAGTGGGATTCGAACCCGCGACGTAAGGATCAACTCCTTACTCCGCGACTCTAGAGCAGACGCTCTAACCACTGCGCCACGCGGGCGACGCGATAGTCAAGTACTCATTCAAATAATTCTTCTCATGTTGGTTTAACTTCATGTCCCTTTTGAGACTGCTTGTCCATCTACACTCAATAATTTACATCAAGTTAGAGTGACTGTCATATGTACACGATTTCTTTATGCAAGTATTTATTTAAGTAACTTCTATCCCAGTAATTTAATATATGCTAAAATATGTAATCATTTTCTTTCAAAAGAAAAAATATTGATCCATGTAGCAGTGGAGGGTCTTATTAATTAGCTTTCGAATTTCTATTAAAAAGATTAAGTGCATTTTTAAGGAGTTACCGAGTAAAAAAATATGAAGTCGATAGTCGGTATGACCGACCGATAGTTTTAAGTACACGGATACTCGTTGATATCCCTATTTACTATAAACACTATGTCAATCTACCAGTGACATTGTACTACATCATATGAACAATTTTTGAGCAACTCTCAGCAATAAATCACTACATAAAAATAATGATAATAGATTTATACATTTACTTCGTTAATTATTACCATTCTATTAACGGAAAATGATATAAAAGAAAATGTGGTATTGAACATAATAACTTTCACGATACAGCCAGAAACCTGCAGCTGTAAACTTTAATCTCTAGGCAGAAGGAAAGAGTTGTTGTTTCTTTTATGATACAAACAGCTTTGATTACATTTCAATAGACAATAGATTCCAAAACGAAAATGGACCCTGAAATTTTATCTTAGATATGCAACAGACTCATACTTCCTACATGTATATTGCGAAGTTTATAAAAATTAAATCACTTTCTCTAAAGTTATCAAAGACATTGCAAAACATCGGCGTACTTTTTCCTGCGTAATGTTGTATACATGTATATGTATACCACAGGTTTTGTGTCCTTTATACCTGTATGAATCCTTGACAAAGAAACACCGTTAACAACATGCACACTTAAACTAGTCTGTAGGTCCGTTGTCCTCGTCATTTTGGCCCATTTCACACACAGTAAGTTTGTTCTTATTTCCCACTTGAACATTGCAATGCTCATACTTATGAACTGTTTGATGATTATGAACACTGTGATATGCTATGGTTACACCGGAGTCTTTTCCTCTCCTTTTGACGTAACTTTTGAACCGGTAAATAAAAACGGCAAGAAGCAATACTGTGAAACATGTACATATAACAATGAGCAGGATGACTGGCCAAGATAGGACACTTGTTGATTCTTTTCTTCTTGGCTGATCATCATTTATGACCTCTGCGTCCTTTTCAGTCCTATGATTGGTCAATCATTATGTTAATTTTTATAACAATAATAATCTTTATACTTAGTAATCTAGTCAACTTTTTATAATATCTCCATTGCACTGACCATTTCTCAACACAAAGAATTACAATATTAGTAAGTGTTAACGTTAACTTTTTCTGTAAAGGGAAATTTGAGAAATGCAAAACACATTTACAATTAATTATTCACAAAGGAATGCTAACCTAGTATCATTGGCTACGGTTGGTCTTCCAAAGGTGGTAGAATTTATTGTAGGACCAGTTGTTGGACGATGAGACACTTTTTCCTGTTCTTTAGTTGATGATTTGGTCGATGGTGTGTTAAGATTTGTACCTTCATTTCCTTTTTCTTTCCTAATTATTCAGTTATAATTGATTAATAAATAATTATGTAAATATATTTTTTATAAGGTAGAGCTATAGTTCATTTCGTCTTTGCAAAAACGAACAAAATAATATAGAACATTTGATGTCGGAAAGTTTTGTTTTTTTTAATTATAGATGCTGCCTTTGGTTTTTGACAATAACTAAGAGAGAAGGAAATATGGTTGATGATATGATATATCTGATTAAAAAGATATTTCAATTAAAATTCATACTTTGGATATTGAGAAATATTACTTACCTGATACAGGTACAGTTTTCTTGGAGCACTTCCTCAGGGTGGACACATAAATGATGTCGACATTGGCATGGATCTGTCCCACAATAATTTTTTGCAGTGTTACAACGACACCGTTTGGCACAAGCGGTGTTGTCAAATTTAGTCGCCGGATAATCGGACGGTACTGTATCTGGAATTTTTTTAATTGAAAGACAAAAGTGCATGAAAGTTAAATGTATTTACATTTATTAAATAAAATACTGAGCTGTAAAAACTTTTATACCCATTGAAAAAATTCATAGCGTCTTGAGATTTGAACATCGTCTCAAAGAATAAATGAATGAGTAATAAGTAGATAAGAAATTGCTATATTAGTGATGGGAAATCGGAATTTTTTCATAATTGATTATCGGGATAATCGGATGCACTATAATCAATTAATAATCGATTGATTACAAGTATTAAATTTGTTCATTTTTGAATGAAGAATAAATTGGTAAAAAAAATTCGGGAGTGATTTCTAGGATACATTTTTGATATATATTTTGTATCATTTGATTCATTTATTAGTTTATTATTTAGGATTTAGTTAAATTCAAAGAAGAATGATTCAAAAATCAAAGGAATAATTTGCTTTTAACTAATATGTTGATCAAACGATTATCAAAAGTATAATCGATTATCTATAATCGGGGGTCATAGATAAATAAATCGATTTTAATCGAGTAATCGGTACATAACTATGTTACATGCAGAAAATGCAATTAATATTGCAGTAAAAATATGCCTAATTCATATGTTAACGTTTCCCTTGGATCTGGTAATCATTCAATATTTTCCTTCATATTTATACCGATTTACTGTAGATATATATATGTACCTTCTCCACAGTTCCTCTCTAGACAGTCAAAGATGAAGTTGCTGTCCGTGCGATCATCGAGGTAGGTACCCTCAGGGCACGACTGGCAGACATCTGCTTCACCGTTATTCTCACAGACTTTCACAAATTGCTCTGAAAAATCACAATTATCAATTATTTATATATACTTGTTAAAAAAAAATTCTACCATTGCCGGATGGTTAAATTGGTCGTTTTTAGTTCACCTGAGCCGAAGGCTCAAGTGAGCTAATTTCTGATCGAAATTTGTCCGTTGTCTGTCGTCGTCGTTGTAAACTTTTCACAATTTCATCTTCTTCTCCAGAACTACTGGGCCAATTTCAACCAAAATTTGGCACAGATTATCCTTGGGTAATGGGGATTCAAATTTGTTCAAATGAAGAGCCATGTCCTCTTCAAAGGGGAGATAATTACAAATAAGTGAAAAATTAATGGAATCTTTTAAAAATCTTCTTCTAAAGAACCACTGGGCCAGGAAAGATGAGACTCATGTGGAAGCATCCTCAGGTGTGTAGATTCAATTTTGTTCTAATCATGACCCCCTGGGGTAGGGTGGGGTCACAATGGACGATCAAAGTTATACATAGGAGTATATAGTAAAAAAAAAAAAGATTTAAAAATAGTTTTCTCAAGAACGGCAAAGCTATGATTTGTCATATTTATATGGAAGCATCCTCAGGTGGTGTAGATTCAGATTTGTTCAAATCATAACCCCCGGGTGTAGGGTGGGGCCACAATGGACGATCAAAGTTTTACATAAGAATATATAGGAAAAATCTTTAAAAATCTTCTTCTCAAGAACCACTGAGCCAGGAAAGATGAAACTCTGTGGAATCATCCTCAAGTAGTGTAGATTCAAGTTTGTTAAAAACATGACCCTTGGGGGTAGGGTGGGGCCACAATGGACGATCTCAGTTTTACGTAGGAATATATAGGTAAAATCTTCTCAAGAACAGCAAAGCATGATTGGTTATTTACTATTTGGAAGTATCCTACGGTAGTGTAGATTCATGTTTGATAAAAATCATGACCCCCTTGGGATAGGGTGGGGCCATAATTGATAATTAAAGTTGTGCATAGGAATACATAGGATTTTAAAAAAAAAAAAAAAAAAAAAACCTTCTTCTCAAGAACAGCAAAGCTATGATTGGTCATATTTATATGGAAGCATCCTCAAATAGTGTAGATTCAGATTTGTTCAAATCATGATCCCCGGGAGTAGGATGGGACCATAATGAATGTTCAAAATTGTAGGGAAAAAAGTCACAGCTAGTCAAAAAAATATATAAGCATCTTTAGTTAGTGTAGGTTCAATTTTGTTCAAATCATACCCCCCCCCCCCCCCCCCCGCGCTTTTAGGGGTAGGTCATGACAACTTATGCATTAAAGCTTTTCAATACTGAACTGATTTTTGCTTTTTTTCCCTAGCCACAGTGCTCAGGTGAGCGATGTGGCCCATGGGCCTCTTTTTCTTCTGAGGATGTGCTGTTGACGTTGTTTTAAGTACCTAATGACTTAATATAATTTATTTTTAGACTTTACCTGTACATGTACATGTACGTCATATTTCCGTGTTGGGTTTGAACTACTTACGAGGTTCACAGCGGACATACTGGCAACAGTTTCCATTTGAGTGATATACTTGATTGTCAGAACAGAAAGGTGTTGCTTGACAGAGAGTCACAAGAGTCACTATCGTCATAAACTGTAACAAAAATATGCATGGTTCAAAGCGATGATGATGCAGAATTATGGTAGAAATCTACTTCTCACTACGGCTTCCTTTGAATTTGCTCAGGTCTGATCGACTTTGTATGTTCTATAGGCAACTAAAGATGAGAATATTCTTATCATATGTGCTTAAGGACAGGAACCCCCCCCCCCCCCCCCGATATAGACCACTGGACCATTTTTGACTTCTTTCCTATAAATAATCTTTTTAATTATGACTTAACTGAGATTTAATCCCTAATATCAATTTAAAAAATACGTAAAACAAACGTTTTATAAAATATATCTAACTCTATAAATAAAAATAAACTTTTTTTTTACATAATAATACAGATGGATACGTATAAATATATTTTTGATATAAATTATTTGTTTTATGAATTTCCTCGGATTGTATCAATTGATAAAAGATGGTCGAGAAGGCCTGGTGGTCTACCTGTTCTAAAGCACCAGTGATTAATAGTGAAAAATCAGATGAGGTTTGTCTGCATGTACTAAAATTAAAAAGATCTTTCTATCTAATTTATTACTTTATGTAAAGTTTTAATTTTAACGTAAATAACAATATCATGTTCATCTACACTTAGTCTAGTATTTTTATTCTTTAGCTCAGATACGCCATATATAGCTTTAACTAAATGATGCAATTCTGACAAAAAAATAATCGTAACATGAAATAATATACTGAAACGCAAAAGAAACGCAACAAGCAGTAATCTACAAATATTTGAACCTTTTAACTGATGATTTTCAAAACTGATTACAGTTAAGTTAAACTCGATTTAAAAGCATCAAAGATTTGATATCAATGTTAAATGATTACCTTTTAACTTTAGAAAGTAACACATGACTGTTAAAACACCCCCCTTCTCAGCCATTCAATTATAGCGTGGAAGACTGCCATGCACAACAATTGCAGCTTGATTTCCACGATGCAGTAAGTTCATCAATCTCGGGATCTGAGCGAAAAAAATATTCTTTGCCATTTTTAAATGTCCATTTTTCAGATGATGAAGTCGAATTTTCTCTAACCTAGCGCAGTGTAGTAACACTTGGACTTCCGGTCCACGGACTATCATTCATGCTAATGATACGTATGAGCCTGTTGAGGCGTGTTGTCGTGCATTTTTGCATCAGATTCTGCAATTCTCCATCACCTTTATTTTCAGATTATCCAGCTAGAGCACATGAAATGCGTACTTAAGTCATTTTCAGGAAGCCTTGGCATCTCTCCCGGAAATGAAAGGAGAATTTATTTTGCGAAATATTGCTGAATTACTTGTGTTAAACAGATACAAACCCTTAAAACCCCATATTTTTGTCAAATGTTTTGTTAAATATGCAATTTTTGATTTCTGTTCAGCGGGCTCAAACTTAACTTCCGGTTATGGCATGAAAATCATTCAACCGTTAAATTATCGAAACTTACAATGTTGAAGATATCCGTACTTTTTAGATACAAAATTATATCCTTTATATGATTTTCCCCTCTAAAATAGGATGTTGCGTTTCTTTTGCGTTTCAGTATATAAAGTGAAGAAGTTCTTAAATTTAAATTTCTTAGATGATATTAAATTCAAAAATTCCTTTCAGTCACTTAATTAGTTACTGAAATTAAAAAATGCATATACCTGTATGTATTCCATTCTGGTTTGCAAATATCCATGTTAAAAGTTCTGATTTAGGCACAGTGGGTCATTTTTTCATTCATCATTATTTTGTGTGTACCTAAAATATGTAGTATGTAGAAACATAGAAATAATTAAGTGAATATCAGAGTTCGAATACTTCTTTGGATATTTTAGCAACTCTTAATGTAAAAAAAAAAGTCCCAGACAATTATACGTAGATAAATTAAGGTTTGATGTCAGCATGCAGTTTTCGATCCGCGATTCGTGGAATAACTTTTACGTGTGCGGTTATGATATATGGCTTTCCATTGGATACGGATCCGTCCCTAATCCAGAAGGCAATTAAATTTCTGTAAATAATCATGAACTTTACAATTAGGCCAAAAAAATAATAGTCTTGTTTCCTGCTACCAGCCTGAAAAAAATAGGGTAGGTACATGTAGGTAGGAAAATTATTTTATTTTATATTTTTATTTTATTTTTTTCCGACAGCATATTTTGGATATGAACTAATATAAGATCAAATTAAACATGTCACAGGTCAATACTGTCTTTTAAAAATTAAATTTCATATCTTTTTATGCACAACTCAAGTGGTATTTTATGAAAGTCCATATTTAAAACAAGAATTTCATGAAATGCTTGTGTTAATACGGAAACCAATTACCGTGACAGAACGATGAAATTCCAGAAATTCCCGATTTTTTTCCTTCCAAAACTTAAAAAAAAACTTTAGGGTAGGGTGCAAAAAAATAGGGTAGGTCGGGTAGCAGGAAACAAGACTTTTTTGGCCTTATTTTAAATAAAAATTAAATAAGACCGAATAAATTTATTAGCCGGCTGCTGATGGTCTCAAAATCAGTGTGTTATTTTTTTCCCGAGAAGAATAGACGTTAAATTTTCGGCATTCTTTAAACGATGATCTCCTAATAGATGCATGCTCTTAAGCAGGAGAAAGCATCCCCTGTCGACCGGTCACACACGCCGTTAATCTCTATTGAGATTCTGCTGGGCTAGATATTTGGACTGACGCCCACAGAATCTCTAGACAACCACTCATAATTCATGTCTGGAAATCAAGCCCCAACTTCGGCCGACTATAGCAAGAATTATTCACCTAGACCACACTGCCGTTCGCTTCAATTAAGTCATTTGGTTGTTTATTTGACTCTCTGTCACTATCATTTCCACATTGCTTACCGTTTAGGCATGTAAATCCCAACATAAAAATATTCACTGAAATCTCCGTTCAAAATATGGCTCCTTTGACGAAATTGTTTACCTCCTCACATAAAAGAGTCCCTATAGTTTGTTTTTACCCTATGTGATTATGAACTAATGTCTACTATGGCTATTGAACATCACATAAAAGAAAACAGACTATAGGAACTCTTTTATGCGAGGAGGTAAACAATTTTGTCACAGGAGCCATATTTCGAACGGAGATTTCAGTGAATATTTTTATGTTGGGATTTACATGCCTAAACGGTAAGCAATGTGGAAATGATAGTGACAGAGAGTCAAATAAACAACCAAATGACTTAATTGAAGCGAACGGCAGTGTGGTCTAGGTGAATAATTCTTGCTATAGTCGGCCGAAGTTGGGGCTTGATTTCCAGACATGAATTATGAGTGGTTGTCTAGAGATTCTGTGGGCGTCAGTCCAAATATCTAGCCCAGCAGAATCTCAATAGAGATTAACACGCCGTGTGCTCATTGTCATGATCGGGCAAACGAAAAGATCTGTAGAAATTCAGTGTGTAAATAATGTCCTAACAATTAGTATGAAATACGTCAGTCAGCATTCAACTTAATGATAGATTGTATTTGCTGACAAGGTCATTCTATCGACCATAGAACTTGCGAAATGATGACTTCATAAATCCTTGTTTCATCAACTTTGTTTGTCAATAGCTTGTCTCGTTTTAGAAATTGTTCGTACATGGAGCATGCTCTTAGCCATCGAATCAACTGGGAGATATAAACCCCAACTGCAGGTGATAAGGGTATAGTGCTACATTAGTAAGTAAAGTTGACAATACAAATTATTAAAGTTGAAGTCATCACGTTTATCTTGTGACACGATTGCGGTGTTTTTCTTTGAAGTTTGCTGTTCAGTGGGCGTAGCTACTTTCCGCTCTGTATTAGCCCTCGTCTTGTATTAGCCAACTGTTCTGTATCTAAAATACAGCACGGTCTAAAAATAAATCTGATTCAATTTATCAAAACCACGTACAAATAGTAAATGCTAATTTTTTGCCTATTCTCTTTAGAGATATACATGGATGTAGGCGAAAGCCTGTCCACTTCTCTAAAGAGAATAATTTTTTCCTATTATAAATTTGAAGAAATATTTCCTTAAGAATGTATTTAATGTCAAAATTTCTCAATCACTTTCAAAAAAATTATTTCACACAGAATCTACACGTTATTTCGATCCAAACGAAAAGGAAAATTCGCAATTATGGAAAACATCCTATGTTGGAGAAATTCCTGAAAACCTGTTTGCTTTCCCTGCTTTTTGTGTCCCCTTCAAAATAGTAAAGCCAATGGGTTCGCGGATGCAGCATACATTACGTGAAATTCGCATTCCCCCTCCCCTCATTTTCCACTCTTCTCGTGCAAACTCAGTCAAGTCCATTTTTCAGGGGGTTTTTTTTTGTTTTTTTTTAATTTCATCTTAAATCCTTATCGCTGACGACTGCCACACATCTTTCACTTCGTTTTTAATGTCACATTTCAATAAGAAAATAAAAATCCGTAAAATCAAAGTCCATCGAAAAACTGTCTGTATCGCCTGTATGTGAACCTTTAGTTTAACTGAGATTTTAAGACCCCTGAAATAAATTAGGATCAATCTCCATCTACAACAAGGTTTTAAATCGCCCACCTTATCAATTAAGACTGACTTCGAGTCTGTTACGTCTACCCCGCTGTCAAAACTAATCTGACTAAAGCTTACGTTGTCCGTGGAAATATATATACTGCGGATGTATACTCCCCGTCGAGGCCTCATCTACAGAAAGAACAAACGAACTCTGGCGGAAGTTTGGATGCTGCACAGGTATTGAAGTGGGCAGTGCTTTTTTTTTTTTTTTTTTGATTGATCGTGTCACAAATCATTTAGAGAACTCGACAGGTTCTGTATCATAGATACAAATTTGGGGGTGGAGACTCGTGCTACGCACTCGTCCACCCCAAATTTGTATCTATGATACAGTACCTGTCTCGTTCTCTAAATAATACATAAAGTTTGTTGTCAGGTTACCATTAATGTCTTTTCTAGGAAAATATCAAAATATGAAACAGATGTGTCAGACTCTGTGCATCCTCACAGCGTAGGGGTCCTGAGTCAACATACATATGTTGAGGATGGACTCTGTATTATTTTGTATTTCAAGTTCACTGGGATATATTGAGTTGACATATAAATGGAAGTAACTAATAATTCATTGATAATACGTCTCTTCGATATATCTAAATATCGGGTTAAAGGCCACAGATAGTGTCTCCTTCTTCTCCTTTATATGAAAACAAAAATAGGTCTGATAATAATTAGCACCCATGGAAATTCCGACAGATGGTTGGAGGACCTGATCTCTAAAAAACTACATAGATATTATCAGTCAGAAACTCAAGCATCTTTTTAATGCATTTCAAAAAGGAGCGGGGTACTGGAGCTATAGACTTTTATTTTTTATAAATTGGTTCCAGTTTGGCGGTGGGTTCTGGTGAATTCTGGAAATCATATTTCAAATAATCTGGCAGCGGTTTTTTTTTCAACAGATTAATAATGAATTTCTTTTGATTAATTTTTTTTTGGATATTGTTATCTAAATAATAATTATTATGTTTGTGTGTGCGTTTTTTTTCTTTTATTTGTTAGAAGGGGTGTATGTGATCGCACCAAATGCACCCCTTCTTTCGACGGCCTTGATCTAAATCATATAGATGTACCCCACGTACATCAGTATATTAAATTAACCAATATCTCTTTAGAGAAGTGGACAGGCTTTCGCCTACATCCATGTAGATGTAGGCGAAAGCCTGTCCACTTTTCTAAAGAGAATTAAAACCGATATTAAGTACTGATTTTATAGTAAAGGGGTGCGATTTTTTTCTTCATTACATGGGGATCACTTACACAGTTACATATGACTTAAGTAAAGGAACAAAGAAATTTGACACACAGGTTCTATAAAATAACATTTGATTTAACATACTCATGATGCTGACACATGTATATCGTTCGTCCTAAAAATAACTTTGGAATGCCCCTGTCTATAAATAGAAATTTTACAACTATATAATATTTGAATGGTTCTACAAATATGAACACTATCTCGACCAGAGTGCTTTTTAAAGTTAATGTATTCTTTCAATTTGTTTTGGATCCGTGCAGTAAAGATTATTTTCCAACCTTTTCATGCATTTCAAAGATGTTACTGATTCTATAAATAAACATGATATATTACTATATATATATATATATATATATATATATATATATATATATATATATATATATATATATATATATATATATATATATATACAATACATGTATGATCAAATGTAATAAAAAATACACTTATACCTCTAATCGTTGAGTTAAAAATAACCTCAGATTCAATTCCTTTACTGACTTATGATATTCCTTTCGATCGTCCTATAACATACAGCACTTTAGTTATCTTACAATGCTACATACGTATGAGTATTAAACATGTTAAAGTCACAGTGATGTTTACTCGACACTTGAAAAAAAAGGATTGAACCGGAAGCATAAAACCCGTACGAAACTCTTAACCGTTTTCCGCCTGGAGTCCGGGCGGACTGAGACGGATTCCGGGTAAGTGCTAGGTGGACTAAGCCGTACTAAAGGCGGACATGGAAAACGTCTTAGCTTTAACCGTTTTCCGCCTCATATCTTAGGTGGATTCCACCTTGAATCTGAGGCGTATTTTTGTTAGACGTTTTCAGGCTTAGCTCTTAGACGGATTCTGCATTAATCTTTAAATTATGAACAGTTTAAACTATGACCACATGTTTCATTCCTCTAGATGACCTTGTTTTCTAAAGGCACTAATGGGGGAGATATTCGAAAAAATAGTCAAACATGGCTTTTAATCCAGTTGTTAGACTTTGAATATTAGGCTTTTTATTACATTGAAGATTGCGTTTCCGAGAGGAGTATTTTTTTGCAGCCATATTGTATATCAGATATACGTTTCTAATGCGCTCCTGCTTGACCACCCTCTACAGGGGGGCGGAAGTTTTCAGGCAGAGCCTCTCTTTGGATGCATTTGTCAGTTTGAATGCAGATTTTGAAAGTGATGACTGTTGGTCAATTTGGTTGATGAATCTTTACATCTTATTCAGTTTAAAAAGGAACTCAGGCAAGATGTATGCCTGTAAATTACTATTCTGAAGATGATATGTTATGTGTTTTTGGAAAAAAGAGTGATAAAATACAACTTTTGGTGTTATTCTTAACTAAGCTTTGAAGTGAAGCAAATTATGCTCGGTGAACATGCTGAATGGACAAAGAAGGACCTCTAAACACTGTACAGGAATACATGTAACTGTGAAAAACAATGGTAAGTTAAAATTTTTAGCGGTGTTTTTTCTTTTCTCTCTTTTTTTGAATTCGTACAGCCAAAATATGTACACACCACTCTCCACCATTACTTCTGATAATTAATTCCAACTGGAATAGCACTGAGGCCCTATATTCACATTATACTCTACACTAACCCAGATGTTAAAAAAAAAAGTTTGCGCATAAAATTTCAGGCGCCATTTCTTTTTGCCTAATGTAGGGTAGCCTCAACCCCCCCCCCCCCTTGTTTTCAATATTATGAGTATATCCTTTTAGATTAAAATATTATTAAATATTAAAAAGTACAAAGATAAAGGATAAAAAAAATTACTTATTCATTTGTCAATTATTAATCAACATGTACTTTTGTAATTTTATTTTTCACTTTGCATATGTGTTTTCCGGAAATCCGATTTCCTTTTAAAATTAACGACCTGTAGTTTCTTCCAGTTTTAAAATCACGATATGATGTGTGTTAGCACTGGTTTAACCAGTGGTTTATTAGTGGAATGGTGACACAGACACCCTTCTAAAAGTGTAGTTCGCTGCTCAGTTGGGATTAGGAGTCAGGTTCTGAGATGTAAGTCATCATTTAAAATATTAAAATATTAATATACACATCATGTACATGGAATTCTTCTTTTTTTTTTTTTTACCTTGATGAAATTCTTAAAATACATTTTTGGGGGGAAATTTGAACAAGTTTTTTTAATTTATTTTTTTATCCATATTGAAGTGTACCATTCCTCATAACGTCGATGCATCTACACTATAGTTTTCCTAATTATTCAATAAGCAGCTGCAAATGTACATTTCAAAACATACATGGATATGAGTATATTCATTTAAGTTAGATCTACATATTTCATGAGCAGCTTTTGAATATACATGTAAATTAAAAGTATTTGTAGAATGGGGTCTTACGTTACTACCTTTTACAAATATATGAAGATTATGAAAAGTAATTGAATAAGAGATTAAAAACCTATTTGATATTAGGATATTCTGCAGTGCAGTGTTATACATTTCAGCACTTCGAGCTTTTTAAGTCCTCGGCAATTTTGGCCGATAAAGGTAAAATGAGGACTGCGGCAACTGCAGCAAGTCAGGATGAAGGCCAGAAGTCACTGTCCATCCACCCTTAGGAGTAAACTGGCAATGCTGCTTAGACTTCTCATTTGAGAGCTTGCCGAAGATTCATGGGAAAAAGGAATGCAATCTAACACCTGTGCTTCATTCAACTGTATTGGAGGTTATGAGAGGTAAGAATACATAAAGACATCAGACGTCTGATAAATATATGAAAAATTATTCTTATATTTTGTAAGTTTTAGTGTTGAGAGAAATTAGACAAGACTGTTTGCATCCTGATCTGTAATACAGAATAGAATGCCATTAAAGAGTCATTTTATTGAAAAATGTTGAAGAGTTGTTTTGAAACGAGAAATTCATCTCAGTTTGTATTTTCTTTATAGACTTCAACATGTGGTGACCGTGTGTGAAGAATGGCAAAGGACTTAAAGCTTGAATCATGGAAAAGATAAGTTATTCCAGATAACTTAGGAAGAAGAATAATAAAAATGACACACTCTTTCCTTGCAGACAGAAAGAATTTTGTGACAATAATCAACCAGTGGTAAATTAACAGCTAATTGTTTTGTTGAATTGACTTTTAAACATTGGTTTTGTCTTTCTTTTTTTATTTGTTAATTCAACTGTGACAGTCACATTATTATGTAGATGTATGAAGAAAAATCAAGTTTTGGTACAATATTTTTTATCTTTTTATTTCATGTGAATTTAAGGCAAGGCATAACATTTTCAAATGTAAAATTTTTTTAGTCATTGAATTTTAAAGAACTTGTAAATAAATGATTTATAATTTGTGTAATTTCATTTTTTTTAATTGTTAAGTTTGTAAAAGTCTGAAACAACAATAGCTGATGTACACAGTGATAGGCAGATTATGTAACCATTAATGCAAAATCCCTCTAACCATTAAGGCGGAATATGCCTTGCTAGTAAGGCGGAATATGCCTATCTTAAGTAAGGCGGAATACGCCTTGCTAGTAAGGCGGAATACGCCTATCCTAAGTAAGGCGGAATACACCTATCTTAAGTAAGGCGGAATACGCCTTGCTAGTAAGGCGGAATACGCCTATCCTAAGTAAGGCGGAATACGCCTTGCCATTAATGCGGAATACGCCTTGCAGGTAAGGCGGAATATGCCTTGAAAGTAATCCATATTAGGAAAGGCGGAATACGCCTTAACTCATTTAAATATTTCGAGCCCTATTCCGCCCTGATTCCACCCGGACTCCATCTAATTGTCTTATTAAGTTCTTTATAGATAAAGGCGGATTCCGTCTTTTGATTTCCGCCTAAGGTCAGGGCGTAAATTTTCATACAGGAATATATAATCTTAAAATGCTGAATATAATAACACTTTGTTGTAAGCATAATTTGAAGTCATATATGGCATATTTTTTATAAGTTCAGACAAATTAAAATTAAAAAGATCTTTCTATTTCTTTTATTACTTTATATGAAGAAAGGGATTTCATGTAAATTACACAATTTAATTAAATCAATTGCGTTTCATAGATATTAGAAATTTAAAACAATAACTGATTTATTTAATGTCTCCGCATTTAACATCAGACACAGTTAAAAGTCAATTTAGGTGGGGTTATTCAAGTTCAAAATCGGTGAAAATTTTAATTTAAACGTAAATAACATATATCATGTCCATCAACACTCAGCTAGTCTAGTATTTTTATTTTTTGAGCTCAGATACGCTATATACAATGTACGTATACATATAGCTTTAAATAAGCGATATTGAGAACTGAAATTCAAATACGGCGATAATCACATTTCGGTGAAATACTGCTCTAATATAGACGACAATTCAGTGATAGAGAAATGAGAAATGTGTACACTGTTAACGGATTTATAAATGACAAATGCAGCATAATAATACGACAAATGCTGAGAAAATTAAATTCCTTATACGTGCTTTTCCATTACAGTAACTATAGAAATTCGAAATATAAGGCACTGGCGGATTTAGAGGGGGGCCCAGGGGGCCCGCTCCCCCCCCCCCCCTTTGTGTCCAAAATATACACAAGATTTAATAAATCATTTTGTGTGTGTGTGGTCGTGGGCCCCTACCCCGATCCCATACTGGTGCCCCCCCCCCTCCGTTTTTTTTTTTTTCAAGATTCCTGGATCCGCCACTTTAAGGTATAAGGCTTTTGTAATATTTCAGGTGTTTTATTTATTATAAACGTTTAGAATCTAGCTGTACACTGTAAAAAATAAGTGTTTTAAACATAAACACCAAATTGCCACAGATAATAAACACTTTAACACGTTTAAAATTTAAACACTTCGTGAAGTGTTTAAGAAATAAACACGTTAGAATGTTTAAATTCTAAACACATGATGTTTAATATTCAAATACTTCCTTCTCATTCTGTTTAAATACTAAACACTTCAAAAACACAAAACGTTTAAAGATTAAACACTGAATAAACACAAGGAGTTTACTAAATAAACACCGTATGTGTTTAAAATTTAAACATTTCATGTTTTATTAATAACACGTCCAACCTAAACACTTAAACATGTTTATTCGATGCAACAGATAATAATCACTTAAACATGTTTATACGTCATTTTTTAAACACTTCAACGTGTTTAATTTACAAAATAAATAAACACTTAAACGTGTTTATAAGTTTTTAACATTTTTATTTGAAACAAACATAAAACAGTACAAAACACACTGTTCTTGATGATGAACATGTATACATAAAGCTTAATTAATAAATGATTAATGTTGAATAGAGATTCAAACTTTATAAACAATTATAACATTTATCAACACATTTGCTAACACACACATGTAGATACATAATTCAATTCAAGTTGAAAGATAGAATTATCAAGAAAAAAAAAAGAAAAAAAAAAAAAAAAAAAAAAACTAGCATGAACATGTAAAACCTGTATGTGAACTAAAATTCAATAAAATTGGGGGGGGGGGGGAGGGAGGGAGGGGGGTTGAATGGTACAATGTTAATTTTAAATAAATATTCAATTTATATTAAACTTTATCAATCAAATCTATTTATTAAATATATAGATTATAAAACAATCTAGAATTATAATAAACAAGCGAATACATGTATATGAATCATTTATTAGCATGTAGACCATAAAGTTAAGATTTGAAAACAAACAAACAAAAATAGAAGGATTGAGGATGTTTTTAATGATTAAAAAGACTGTAAAATTCAACTGTGGTGGAATTTTTTTCTTTTTAAAATAAGTATGTTTTTTGTGAAGTAATTGAAAAGTTATTGCATGATAAGTAACTGAAATTTTATGGGGGGTTTTTTGTGTGTAAATAAATTACAGTGTATGCATGTACTACAGTCCCTGAAACGTTCTACTTTCCCACTTGAACGGTGAGCGAACGCTGAACGAACGCAGAGCGAACGGTGAGTGAACGATGTGTGAACGCTGAACGCAACTTGGTGAACGGTAGGTGAACGCTGAACGGTGAGAGAACGCAGAACGCAGAACGGAGCGCGAATGCGAGCGCAAAGTGAACGAACGGTGAACGCAAGATGAACGATTTATTCGGAATGCCTCTGATCTTTTCCCTGCATTGTATCTATTCTATTGTATTCTAAAGTCAGGCGCAAATAAATACATAAATAAATATTCAGAAATTGTCCTATGAAAGATGAAACATGCACATTAAGTAAAACTATTAATTAAGTTTCTTACAATATTTTCTGTACATATGTATGATGTTTAAATTCAGCTGTTTAATCAAAAAAAATTTATCGCTGTAAAACATTTTAACTGTTACCGAACACTGTAGTTTAAAAGATACAGTGATTCTACATGTAGTTGTAAAATAAATGTGTTTATTCTTATTTGATATATAAAACCGTTACAAATAATGATTTTCGAAGAGGACATTACTGATTTATAGGATGAATTACAACGGTTGTAACAACCACACATGTATTTCCGTATCAAGGCAATTCAGTGTAAAATAAAGAGAAGAAAAATTAAAAATATTTTGCTACGGTCTGTGGACGTATTACATGTATATACACTCGTATTTTAAAAATTTAATGCAGTAATATATTTATGTGTCTTTTCATTTTTTTATGATGATTTATTAAGCAGACTTCTACACGTACATGTACATGTATCTGTAGACAATTCCCCGTGATTATACTCGGACAAGATGATACAAAGAAGCATTCATATTATTTGTTATAGATTAAAATTCCAGAACTTGATATTTTAGTAATACTTGTCATAGTTTTGATTAAATGGACAAATGAGAGAGAGAGAGAGAGAGAGAGAGAGAGAGAGAGAAATTCCGTTTTAGCCCCCCCCCCTTTCCACAAATGCATGAACATGTACTACCTGTATAAACAAAAAATCTTAATCTTTATCTATTAAATAAATCAGGCATTGAAAGTTACTCTTTCTAAATCAACAAATTCATTTTGTTTGACAGTCATAATCGGTTTTTACTTCAAGTTCACAAGAAGTCCACGTGTTTGTCCTGTGTCGCATAATTTACGTTCCGGGTAACTTAGCGTTACCTGTAATATTGGTTCCGGGCTATAATAAACGTTCCGGCCTGCGTAAGTTTGGTTCCGGCCATAATATAAGTTCCGGGCATCCAAACACCCTTTTAAAATTTTTTTTATAATTAATATTTATAAATAATTAAGTTGGATTTTTTCTTCCTCTTATCGGGTTATACGATACAGCAGGATTTAAACGTATATAAATTTAGAAGAAGTCCCAAAATACGGTCTTAATACCAATGCAATAATCCATGGAATTCTGTTTCTTTGTTTAAAAAAAAAAGAAAAGAAAATGTGAAACTTGTTTACATAGATATATACCCATATACCCCATCATGTTGTTTTACGACCCCCTTCTATCGATACAATATGCAGTCATGCGAATCGCTGTATGTCATTTCCGCAATTCTAAATGAGTTTTAGGAAAGGGTACCCTGATCTGCTGGTATATTGCTAATAAATGAATTATATTGTCTACGATTTAAAAAAAAAAAAATAAACACTCATTGCGTTTTTGTAAAGCCGACTATATAATTAAATCACAATACATGAATCAACATAGTAGGAGATGTGTGGGCGAAGGACTTGCATTTATTAATTAACATGCATTCTCTGTAAACACCAAAAAATCGAAACGACATCTCTCCGATTTTGATGAAATTTGCACCACAGGTGCGTCTTGGAACAAAACTAGCAAATATGGTGTTTCACACATGCACCCGGTTGCCATGGAGACGGATCCATTGAATTTGGCCATTTTTGGCCCCTTTTGACCAAATAAAAACATGGAAATTGAGGAAATATAAATGCATTTTTATCTTTATGAAGTAAACTCAAACATAAATCATTGTATCATAAGAAAACATCAACTTTTAAGGTATACAGGGCATATAATCGGTTATTCCAGAATTGTTCCCACTCTATAGGAAAAAGGTCCTGCAAAATGACTAGTTTCTGAAAATGTGAAAAATGGGAAATTTGGTATTTTTGAGAACTTTAAGGTTAAATAAAAAAAAATTGTCTACAGAATATAGTGGCCTTTATCGATGTAATATAATTTTGAGTCCCCTCTGCTCTTGTGGAAGAGTGGAGGATACTCATCATTATTTCTTCGCATGCAAAAAATATACAGAAGACAGAAAATACTTTTTCGACCAATTTCTGCGTTTTGGTAAATTACATACCGTTGATACTCACATCTTACTTTGGGGAGATAAATCTTTAAGTGATGTTGAAAATCATTCGACACTGTGCAGGTGTGAAAGTCTCGTCGCACCAAGGACGAAGTGCTACATGTTGTACACTGTAGTATTTCCAAGAAGTTTTAACATTTTTTATCATTTCTAGATCTGATTCCAACTTTTCCAATAAATAAATAAATAAAATACATTGGGCATAAACACTTAGAATGAATTTGAAACATATACTCCCTGGCCAATTTAAAAATACCACCGGCGCGTGTATATTTTGAACTACTATTGTTTAATGACTTTATTGGATGCATGTTTGTTTTTAGACTGAAATTTTTGTACTGCAAAAAGCGTTAACTTCTTTTTAAATATTAATTAAAATATACTGGAAATGCTGACTACGTACAATGTACATACTTAGAGTACGTGTAACGTAAACTTATCTGTTCAAAATGATTTATTTTTGTTTAATTTCAACTGGTTATCAAATGAACTCGTAAAAATGTTTTTAAAATGCAATAAATTATAAATGTTTTTATTTGTGATCGTAGACTGAATAATCATTTCGTGCACTTTCATCCTTTCAAATGAACACGTATTAGTGAAGCGTAGCGGGAACAATAACTCTGGGTAGAGATTGGAATGTGCTAAGCAATCATTTATCCGAGAGAATCGGGAGTCTGCAGTACTAGATTTACCGCATACCCATAATCATAGTCGCAAAAGCGTTTATGATAAAGAGCAAAATTTATCGGATGTAAAGGTTCAATATAGAATAGATAGTTCAACTCAGAATTTCACGTGGTTAGCCGTCAACAGTCAACCTTACGAATTTTTAGGAAAATAAAAGGTTCAAAATGCCGAACAAGAAATTTCTCAGTAAGTGATTTCATACCACATAGATCTGCATATATAGCTCTATTTGGGATCAGTTTAAATGAGTTTTTATTTGTGATCGTAGACTGAATAATCATTTCGTGCACTTTCATCCTTTCATCCCCAAATTCTACAGTTCTAGACATATTCTTTATCCAACCTGTATATTTTATCCATCTCCTTACATTTTATAATCGTCTCTACAGACCAATAAACTTGCTTGTGAATTTGTTGTCGGATGGCATAACGAGTTTAATGGTCTGTAGAGACGACCATGAACGGTTAGGAGGTGGATAAAATATACAGGTTGGTTATAGAATATGTCTAGAACTAGGGAATGAAAGGTTGTTGATTGACCAATGCTGGAAAGTGACGAAATACATCCCCAAAGTGTGCAGAAAATCTTGCGCTGTAAATTACACTTTATTTACATTACGGGATCTGTAGCGTTATGGTCAAAGACTATAATATAAAACCATAAAAAACTGCAGCTAGCACATGTTATGCCCTGTGGTTCATTGTAAACTCTATGTATCTGAATATATAGTGTCTATTTTGTCAATACAACCTTTGTTTTCATTTATGACGATATCTGAATATAACATATGGTTAACTGTATAAAATGGTAACCTTCAAACAGGGACCTAAATACTAACGGGATAGGCAACTCTCACAAGTCTCGCGAAGTCTCGTAAGTTGTGGGATTTCGTAAGTCAATTTTAATTAAATATATCTCTAATGCTATTTAATATTTCAGATCAAAACCTTAATTTATCTGTCAAAAAATTATTCAAGATTTCTTGTTGGCACTGTTTATACTCGTTTTGTTAGTAATAATTACGTTTATTTCAAAATCATTACATACCCCTGATTGGCGGTATTTCCGAGAGTTTGCTGATTTCTGTGTTTATTTGCTTTATATTTAAATCATTTTTGATATGTGCTTTAAAATTTATTAAATATCCATTCCGATACACAAAAAGAACAGATTACATTAATCAGAAAACAAGCTTTTTACTGGGAAAAAACATAGTTTGAAAACTTTGCAGTGTTGTGTGTGCCGTTTTGGGTAAACAAACATGGCGCTGAAGGAGTTGCCTATCCCGTTAGTATATAGGTCCCTGCTTCAAACTACTTCAAACTTTCAACTTATATTATCGATTGTATTGTACTGATTGATTCAATTTCATAATCGATAGTAATGGTCCGATTTTGCAACACTAATCAATATACCTTATGAAGTGATATAAATTTACTGATATACGTAATTCTAATTTTATTTTGTAGACAAGAAGAGTAAAAGGGTGTCAGCTGCAAGGAGATATAAGATAGAGAAATTGGTATAAAAGCTTGTTATTAAGCAATGGAGCATTAACATTAGTTTAATTAAGGATCATTCAGTGTCTGAATAGTGGGAATGTCGCTGATATTATTTCATGTGTAAAGTTAAATAAAAAGCAGAATTTTCATCGCCCCCCTAAACATAAAGACCAACAGTAGGAATCAAAAAAGATTTTTTTTTTTTATTTAATCGTTATGTTTATTGTGTATCAAAGTTCTTTTACATGTATACAATATGATTGCTATTTAAAATAGCTGTAATAAGCCTGACATTTTATTCCATATATTATGTAAATATATTTTATGGAATACATAAACATACATACCGGTGTATGTGGTACATTGTAGGTTCGTCAACATAATAAAAAAGCCAAGAAAGAAGCCAAGAAAAACCCCAATAAATTTGTCAGTAAGTGTACTGTAGCTTTTATCTGTAGAGGTCATTGAGAGGTTATTGAACTTCAGTGTGAAATATTTATTTCTTCCAAATCAATTTGAAATCAGTGCATTGTTTTCTGAAGAAGTAGAAAGTGTGAAAATGTCAGAACAAACAAGCTCTCACAAGAAGGGATGGAAATCTTAAGGAAAGGCATGTTTAAAGAGTTAAATATCTTAGGATCAAAATTATAAATAAATCAGTTGTCAGACAAAAAACAATTTGCATAAAACGCAGTTTGGTTTAAAATAAAATTATTTCAAAGAATAATAGTGAGCATATTTTTATATTGAATAACAGGTACATGCATCTTTGAATGTAATCTTAATATGTATTTTTGAATTGTGATTTCATAGAAAAGAGGAAAGATCCAGGCATTCCAAATAGTTTGCCATTCAAAGAAACCATTCTCCGAGAAGCTGAAGAGCATAAAAGAAAGGTGATCATTGCACTGTAAATAAGATGATTATTGCACTGTAAATAAGGTGATAATTGCACTGTAAATAAAGTGATTATTGCACTGTAAATAAGGTGGTTAGTACACTGTAAATAAGAAAAAAATCTCCATTAGGCCAGTCTGAGATCATAATATAATTTTGATAAACCTGGATCTAGGAATTTGATGTTAAGCATTTTAGATGTCCTCAAGCTTATCAAATACATGTATTCATGCATGGAACATGAACGTGAACTCTGTCTCTGTAATGCTCAAAAGCTGTGGTAGACAGTCATGGTACCCATACAAACCTTAAAAAAGATGTATAAGTGAACGTGTTCTGACATTTGATAGGCTGTCAATCCCACTTAATAGATAAATATTACATTCATACCTGCTAGAAGAGAAAATGAAAAAAAAATCAATACCTATAGAAAGTGTATCTATCAGCCTCATGGACTGACTTTTTTTTGATTCACTGTGTATTAATTTACTTTTTATGACTTGTAAATTATGTCTATGCATTCTATGCATTACTGAAACTTTTGAGGAAGCTGAGAAGTTATACATGAAAGCAAACAAATTTCCTGTCTGACAAAATCTCAGACATCGTAACACTTAGCAAGCTTACAAGCTTTGGGTGGGCATGGGAGGTTTTTTTTTTTTTGTTTAGAAGTCCTATATAATGAATAAGTTTGTACAAGGTGAGACAATATATTTCTCAATTTTGAAAGTTTATGGGAAAGTTATACATGTATTTTCCAAAAATTATGATGTCAGTAATGTCCTCCTTAACACATTTGATTCATTTATTTTGTTGAATGACTTACAGATTGATAATTTGTTTTTCAGTTGACAGTTAAGCATATTTAGAGGAAAATGGATCTGTTGGAGCCATAAAAAATGATTTTTGAATATTAATGGGTCAAATCTCCATTCTACGTAAATGTTTAAATGATGGAAAAATAAATTTATAATCTATTTTATGTTTTTAAAAAAGGGAGTCTGAACCCAATCTACATTGTATAGTGAACATTTCTGAGAAAATGATATGCTTCAGCTAAACCCGTTTATTATAATTAAACCACACTGACATACTCCATTGATAAGAAGACTGATAAGACTGTGTAGCATAGAGCTTAGTGCATATAACATTATGCCAGACTGCAAGCTCTGGAGAGAGTTCAAATCATATATGAGGCTCCATTTTTTTTTCCTTTTCACAAAAAAACTTCAAAAATAACTGAAAAATAAATTAATAATAACAATAAGTAATTCATTGAAATAAAGGAATTAAAGGTGTAAAAAGTAATATTGCTTTGCTGCTGTCTGTCAGTCGGTCTGTATGTCTGTCGGTCCACAAACAGTTTCCGTTCATTTTCTTCACAGAGGTTGCACATACTGAAATGAAATTTGGTATACAGATTTATCATAAGAATATCTAGGTCAAGTCTTGTTTCGGGTACGATCGAGCTATTTTTAGTCCCCTAACGGTGAAACTGGAGGGGACTATAGGTTTCCTCTTAATCTGTCCGTCCATCTAGCTGTCTGTCTGTCAGACTGTCCCACTTGGTTTTCTGCACTTTTTTTCTAAACGCTTGCAGATATTAATCTGATTTTTGGTATGTGACTTTACCTTGATGATTTATAGATCAAGTTTGCATTTTGTTCCACTTCATTGATTTTTGACGGAATTATGGCATTTTCAATTTTTGACGGGAACCGGATTACACTTGCCAGTAGGGGACTAGTATTGCTATTGCAATGCTCTCGGAATGCTTGTTGTCAGAGTTATGCTCCTTCGACTTGTTGGACTTAGGAAAATTCCAACTATCTGCAGTTTCCATTCATTTTCTTTGCAGAGGTTGCACATACTGAAATGAAATTTGGTATACAGATTTATCATAAAATATCTATACTTTAGGTACAGACCCTATTGGATACCTTTCGGTATCTACACGTGAGAATCTTCCGCAATTTGAACCTCAGGGTGTTGGTCTCCAGTTTTTATTGTTTTGTATTTTACATTGTTACTGGGACCCCTGCATACCTATAGGTATCCACCATACCGATCTGCGCTATACATTATGGCCACCAATTTGAATACTAAGTCCCAAGATCCCCTCAAAGAGAAAGTAAATGATGAATCTAGGACAGACATCAGTAACCCCAAAAAAAGATTACGCAACACATCTCTCTCTGATACTAACATAAAATATCAAGGAACTCCTCCAGAAACACCTCACAAATCCCAAGAAACAGATGGTGAAGAACCCCCTACAGAACCGAAGTCCGCAAACACACCAGATTTAAATGGACCACCCGAAATCCAGAAAATATCAGAAGAAAACGTAGCCATGTTTAGAGCCCTCAGGAAACTACATATAAAACTCTACAGAACAAAAAATCATGCCGCATACCTACATAAATGTCAACAACAGGATCTTATTCCAAAAACCCTTAGAGTTAAATTTATTCCGCAGGTATCCACCATACCCATCTGCGCTATACATTATGGCCACCAATTTGAATACTAAAGTCCGCATCCAATGAATCTACAAAAACTGTCTGCCAAGATGAATTACCGGAGTCCTTACCTGTCAAGTCCGCATCCAATGAATCTACAAAAACTGTCTGCCAAGATGAATTACCGGAGTCCTTACAAAATAGAACAATAAACATCCACGGAATTTATGGACTGTTTAATTAATCATTAAGGATAAATAATGTAATGTAAAGTTTTGTGACAATTTCACACGATTATGGTTGTTAAATTATTAATGTAAAGATTCTAGTCCGCAAGTTGTTATGACGTCCACATTTTTTATTTACATAGTAACGTAGTCCGCAATTTTTACTTCATGTATAATCATTTTATGTATATTTGTTCTGATGACGACCGTCTCTGGTCGAAACCGGTCAACCAAATAAATTTACTGCTACATTCTCACGAAGTGTTGGTGATCTGTTTTATATCTTCTAGTTTATAACTTTAGGTACAGACCCTATTGAATACCTTTCGGTATCCACACGTGAGAATCTTCCGCAATTTGAACCTCTGGGTGTTGGTCTCCAGTTTTTATTGTTTTGTATAAAATATCTAGGTCAAGTTCTGATTTGGGTACGATTGAGCAATTTTTGACAGAGTTATTCCCGTTGGACTTAAAAAAATCCTGATTATTTGAGGGGGATGGGGGCATAAGTGTTTCACAACCATCTCTTGTTTTTCAGGGAGTTTCATACACTGACACTTGATCTTTTTTCTTTCTTTGAAAGTCTTTATATATTTAACTCATTTTGTAGATAGAAGAGGAAAGGGAAAGACAAAAAGAAAGAAGGAAAAGAGAAAGAGAGAAACTACAGAATAAAAAGCGTAATTTGACATCCCTTGTTAAAGATGCAGAAAAGAAGACACAGGCATATGAAAGAAAGGTAACACAGAAACAGTCTTGTGTATAATATTTAGGAGAACATTTGATAGTATTCCATGCAGGATTAAGGTAGAGCTCCTGTCTGGATAATCGTCGAAGTTATGTAAAAAATACTACATTTCATCACCCAGAAAAATACCAAGTTTTTGATGACTTGCCTAGATGTCGGACATAGAGTTTTGGACCAAAAGTTAACTCCCAAAAAACTGACTTATAAGCGAGTATATACAGTAGTTAAGGTGGCTCAGACTCAAAACTTCATCTTTATTTTTTTTTCTCAGTATTTCCTCTTCTGTATATTTATTAACTGTGACAAATCGTAATTTGAGAGATGAAACATCAGTATTTGTTAGCAGTTTTGTATTTGGATAGTCTATCCTTGGATTTGAATATTTAATAATTATAATATTGTTTAAGAAATATAGTTTTATTTTATGAGATCTTTGAAACAGAATGAATAAATGAATTGCATGTGGTCAAATGCAGGTATGAAAGGCAGGATTTTATATTTTTCAGAAGAACATTGGTGAGTCCTCCCTCAGTCAGTTTTCAGGAGGAAAAGCTGTGGAGACCTCCCTAAAAGCGTATTATAAGGAGTTCAGAAAGGTCAGGGAAGCAATGTTATAAAGTTTTCTTCACTCCTTATGCATTGATTTAAAGAAAAGAATACATGTATGATACATGTAATAAGATTTTTTTAAGACTCTGTAATTATGCATTACGTAATTATACAAAATAGAGGAGATGTTTCTATTTGAATTGTTTACATTGTGTTGTGTAGGTAGTGGATGCTGCAGATGTTATTTTGGAGGTGCTGGATGCCCGAGACCCTCTTGGCAGTCGATGCTCTCAAATGGAGGATGCAATTATCAGCAGTGGAACCAACAAAAAACTGGTTCTTGTTCTCAACAAAATAGGTCAATACCTTTTCTGTATTTATACCTCTCACTTCAAACAAAGCTGGCCATTTTAACTCCATTAGACTTCGGTGGCATAGAGGAAATTTAACACATTAAAATATATTCAAACTAAAGATACTTATGATTTTGTGATCCTGATTACTGCCTCAAAGGCAATAGTATGTTTAACATAGATTATTGATAGATCAGAATGTGTTAATAATTTCTAATACATGTACGTAGATTTAATTCCACGGGAGAACGTAGAAGACTGGTTAAAGTACCTGAGGAATGAGTTTCCAACAATTGCCTTCAAGGCTTCCACACAAACACAGAATGAAAACCTGGTAAGTTTAATTGCCTTTCCACTTTCCATTTTGACTATACTGAGATGTGAAAATGTAGAAGTTTATTTGTTAGAACAGGTATCTCAATTTTTAGCTGAAGATAAAAACCATGTTTTTCATGTATTCAGGCTTGTGCATTTAACCTAAATGAATGTACATCTGTATATTATGTTATACAATGTATCACCCGTAGAGTCAAACCAAGGTTTCCCTGAAGCATGCCAATGAAGATCTTCTGAAGTCTAGTCACTGTATCGGAGCGGACCTCCTGATGAAATTACTCGGCAATTACTGTAGAAACCAAAACATTAAGACGGCCATTAGGGTTGGAGTTGTAGGTATGGCCTTACTTTTAAGTAAAGGTGTTTACAAGGAATCTTCGAGAATGAGTAAATCTCATATGTGGCAATAAAGGTTGTTTATTTCACAGATGTGGCCAAATTCTGTAGATGAATGTAGCTAAAAATGTTGAAATTTAAGTTTTAAGAAATCTTTTTGTATGGAGAAAACAATGCTGATCAAATGATTTTGTTCAAATAAATTTTTCAAAAGATTTCTCTTATAAAGAACATTTCATTGTGCAAGTTTATAATAAATTACTGTAGATTCCTTAATATACACGAGGAATAAATTACGCGTAATTACGCGAGAAGCACCACTCGCAAAATAAAATTACACGCTTTTATTTTTATGGTGCTTTAATGTATGTAAAATCTCGAGATAAATCACCCCTTCGCGAATTATTTTTCTCGCAATTTGACGCCCTTGGGCCATTTCACGATATTAAGTACTCGCGTAAAATAAGGAATCTACAGTATATGTGAATCAGATTGCCCCTAACATACATGTAACTGTTATTATTATAATAATGATGGTAGTGCATTTTGATTCATATACAATTTGTTATGGACTTGCACATGGAAATGTTTTTTTAAATAAATGAATTAGTGGGGGGAAAGTACATTTTGAATTTATGAAGATATGAAATTGCATGATTGTATAAAAGAACTATTTCTTTTAAAAAAATATGACTATAACTATAACTCACCATGTCTTACAATGTACACTGCTAGAATGCTAATGGAATATTTTGTTTCCATATACACTGTACATGTATTTTGTTTTCAGGGTTGCCAAACACAGGGAAAAGTAGTTTAATTAATAGTCTGAAAAGGTCAAGGACATGCAATGTTGGGGCAATGCCAGGGGTCACTAAGTAAGACTTTTATCTTTATGAATAATTGTACATTTATTACAATGAAAGTGTTGATTTTCTTCGGTAAATGATATGGAATATGAAAGTTATGAACTTGTTTCATTAATGTTTCATGTTGAGTCTATGTATGAATAAAAAAGATTGTTTCTTCTAATATACCGTAATACATGTAAAAAGGCCCGAGTATATTTAAGGAATCACTGTCTAGTTAGTAGAGTATGCCAGGGCATCAACGATAGTTGGAAATGTTGATGTCCCTGGCATACTCTGCTAACTAGACAGTGATTCCTTATATTTCCATTTCATTGTGAAATAAAATTGTAAATTTAGATTTTAAAAATGTAGACTAATAGATTTTAATTACACGAGGCCTCACATGTCAATTTCAATAGTCCATGCCCACTGACGTCAAACACAAAGACAGCTGCACGAGAATTACATGCATATTAGGCCTCCATAGAGTCAGACACAAGACAGCCGCACGAGAATTACATGCATATTAGGCCTTCTTAGCTCCTGACCTTTCGCTTGGTGAAATTTGCATTCTGGTAGAAACTCTCCTAACTTTCAAAGAGTTATCACAGGAAAAAAAAATAGAAATGGAAATATATATATATTTATATATATATATATATATATATATATATATATATATATATATATATATATATATATATATTTATATGTATATAGGGCTGTCAAAAGTTATTTCTTTGTTTAACATCACCCTCCCTCCTAGGTTTTGGAGAAATTGGTACTTTGAAAAAAACAAATTGTTAATTTTTAAAGTAGCTATTCCAGTTTGCCTTTTACTTTTAGCAAAAACTGCATTCCATATTTAATAGAATTAGAAAATATTTGGGCCCTGAATGGGGTATGAGTTATCATGTACACTGAAAGTTTTACCAAAAAAAATTATCAGTGAGCTTACATGATGCACAAATACTCACAGTATTATGATTCATGTTAATGAGTACATATTCATTTGTTTGATATTTTTGTTTATATTTTTTCACCCTCCCTTGTACATGTAGGTTTTAAAGATTTTTGTTGACATTAAAGGAAGAATTAATTTCAGTCAGCCCATGCATATAAATGCATATAAATATGCTTGCTGATAAAATAGAAGCATGTGTACCGAGGGATTTGTGTACCAAAATTTGTAAATTTTTTAAAATGCTGTTCTTTGAATACCCTGTTGTATAATGCACGTTTTGTTGATAGGTCCATGCAGGAGGTACACTTAGATAAACACATCAAGTTACTAGACAGTCCTGGGGTTGTCATGACAGCAAGTTCCTCAGACACATCAGTCATTCTCAGAAACTGTGTCAAGGTCAGTCAGAGCAAAATATTGTCAGTAGTTTGACTTTGAACTGGATTATATTTAAGCTTAAAGCTGAGTTTATTTTCTATTCACTTCTCTGATCATTTTTCAGCTCTACACATTTTGGTATTCTTTACAAATCTACTATGAATGTATAAAAACATTTCAAAAACTCTTAAAATCTGTAAACATGTTTTTATTTTCAGCTTGAAAGTTTAGAAGATCCCATAGGGCCAGTTGATGCCATTTTAAAACGCTGCTCAAGAGAACAGGTACAGCACTGTAGAATGACCAGAAGTTTTTCAGTGTTGAAAAATAAATAGTATTTATAAAAGCCACAAATCATTATACACAATGAAGCAAATTATATAGTTTTCTGATAAAGATAACATCTTTATTGAAAGTATTTTACCTTGCTTTAGTTGATGCTTCATTTTAAAATACCTGACTTCAAGGACACTAGTGAGTTTCTTTCCCTTCTGGCAACACGCCAAGGAAAGCTTAAAAAAGGTGGAATTCCAGATATTAATAAAGCTGCCAAGATGGTTCTCCAGGAGTGGACTTGGTAATGTATTGATTTTAGTAGCAAGAATTCAGGACTGGTGATCACCAAATTTTTGTGACACCCTATTTCGGGAGATAGTTATTTGATATTTATAAGGAAGAAATTTTTTCCACAGTCATGTTTGAGGATATTTTTGATGTATATAATGTTTAATAATGACAATATACACAAGAATGAAATATTTGCAAGTAACTTTCTCATGTAATTATGCAAATGTCGTTTATGAAGAGTTATTTAAAGTGTGATACAGTGGAATGTTGATGTGATGACCAAATATAAAAAAAAAAAAATTAGTCATTTTAATAGGAAGCTGTGTCTTTTTTTTCTAGTGGCAAAATAACATACTACACCCATCCTCCAGAGAAGCAGACAACACACATCAGTGCCTCCATTGTACAGGAGATGAGTAAAGAGTTTAACATTGACGATATTCTACAGGAGGAAAACTCCATACTAGAAGGTAAGAGTTCATCATTCATGACATAGTACAGGGAGATTTACATGTAAGAATACAATAACAGGGATTTCATGGAAGGACAATACTATAAATCACTTCGATTTGAGAGATTTTCATTTAAGAAATAAAGTCCGCGTTATCGTGAATGTTGCAGGATAACCTCCGAGGTCGAGAAATGTTGTCTGAAATATAAAAGCCGAGGCGTTAGCCGAGGCTTTTATATTTTAGACAACATTTCGAGACCGAGGAGGTTATCCTGCGACATTCACAACAACAAGGACTTTATTTCTATTCTACTAACAGCTCTAAAATATGGCTGATCGTTTTCTCTATAGAGAAATGAATTAGGTCACCATGTCGAAATTTTGCTTTTCCATTTAACACCAGAGTCAATTTGTTTGTTTACTTGTGTATCGATTGCATAAAATGCAGAAGGTTTCAGCTTTCGTTGGATTAAAAATATCCTTTAATTATTTATAAATTTGTTTGTAACATATATTGATTAATTTTTATGAATGTAAAATAACAAAATCAGTTGTCTATTTCATTGCTTCATCTGTAAAATCACGGAGTGTAAATGTTGTGGGAAGGTCTGTGGAACAGCCCGACTTGGCTATAAAAAGGATATTTATCAGCTGTTTCAGGCAATACACACTATTCAGACTGCGTAAGACAACACATCGATATGGTCTAAATAAGTATTAGATTCTACATTGAAATATTTATTTCAACTGTACAGGTTTGACATGTGTTTCTGATCTGATAATTTTTTGATGACGTTCGTGATTTATTGGAGAATAATGTCCGCGGCATTTCTTTGATCTCGTCAATAACTGTGGTAGAATTTGCATTATTACACAAGATTGTCGGCTTGTGAAATTTCATTGTCGGAATATTTGTATTCTTTTTAAGAATATGCACAACAGTAACCAAAATTCTTGAAAATTTTGTTTCCTTGTAAGTTCCAACTAACTGTTTCCTGAAAATAAGGCGTGATCTGCAGTAAAAAATAAAAATGTGTCCTGAATACAGTGTAGCCCTGATACATGTAATACAATTAAGAATACCAGTTATCTTAATAAAAGCTGAAACAGAGATCAATTTAATGAATTTGAAGTTAATGGATACATTTATTGATGCTGTTTCCTTCTGGGAAATTTGAATTCATTTCATCTTGAACACATAAATTAAAAAAAAAAATCTTTACATTTCTTTTCACTCTTCTTTTATGTTATTACTATTTATCTGCATCTAATCAGGAGTAATATATACAATGTACTGAGTGATAGCAATGGTTGTTTACATAGGATTGAATCCTAAGACATCAGCACATATTCTGGTGGACTCACTTGGGCCTGCCAAAATGGTGACATCAGAAGAAGAAATCAAAGAAGATGAGGATGAGGACATGGATGAGGAGGAAGGCAGTGAGGAAGAGGAGGAGGTTATGGAAGATGACGATGAAGAGGTAAAGATAGATGATATCAGTGTGATGGAAAATGTTTTTCAAACTACAACCACATATATTTTGCCCATTCTTAATGATTGTTAGTCAAAAAATGTGCAGTAACTGATGTCAGTGTGATGAAAAATGCTGGTTTTTCAAGATAATGACCACATACTTTATACCAATATTTGTCAAAATATGTGTCCTGTACCCCACAGCATAAGAAATCAAACAAATAACAAAGCATTAAAGTTTAGATGAGAGTGTCAAGAACTTCATCATAACTGTTTGCCTGTTTGTCATTCTTCTGCAGCTGAAAGCCATTTCTGATCCTGTAAAATCAAGTAGAGCATCCTCAAGAAAGTCTTCTGTGAGTAACGAAGCATCACAAAAACAGTCCAAAGGCAAGCAGAGAGCTGGACTCAGGCAGTTAAACAAGGACAGGAAAAAGGATTTTAAAAAGATGAAGAAACAAAGAAAAAGAGCAGGTCAGAGAATGCAGAGTACACCACTGATTTCATGTATTTTTGGTAGTTTCTGAATTCTGAATTTGGTTGGTAGTTGCTCAGACATACATGTACACAGTATTTTTCTGCCATTGTCATTTCATTTTCTGTCATTAATATTTTTTAATGTGGATTTAAGAATTAATAATCAAGTGAATTATGAATAAAATAAGTGTATCTTGCAACTTCCCTTTTATACATACAGTACTACACTTTTCCATTTATTAGTTATACTGTTAAGTACTATTAAACTGATACAACCAGGCTATGACAAAGTTATGGTCAAAAGATTTACAGTTACGTTTTTTTATCTTTCAGATAAAGTAGCTGGTGAATTGTCTGATGCCTTTACTTCAGTTTTCAGTGGACAAAATGATGAGAATTATGATTTTAATGTTTTGAATGAGTAAATATATATTGTTGATATTTGAAAAAGAGTGTTTCTGTTTAATATCAAGTTCTCACATAACATATCGGAAGGTCTTCCTGGTGAGATCTTTCTAGATGGTTAATGTTGACACTTGGTAAAGCACCTCAAAAGGACACAGAACTTTACAAGTAAATGTTGAAAGTAACTGTTTTATATATATATACATGTATATATATAAATATATATATATATATATATATATATATATATATATATATATATATATATATATATATATATAGTAAAACATGGTTACAGCCAACATTTATGCTTACAGCTACGTGATTTTCATTTCCTGTAGATTTAAGACAGATATTAATAAAGTTAACGTTTATAACGAATTACATAAACTTTTAATATAACAAATCACAATTGTTCATCCCTGGCACTTCCTTTTAAGTGTGTTTTACTGTATATGAATCAATTATTTGAAAAATCATGAATTTTTAAAAAAAAAAAAAAAAAAACAGTACTGTGTGAGCAGTATTCCCAGTTGGCAACCTAATATGCAAAAGCAATGCTTAATATGTACATGTAGAAGTCCAACTTAGTGTAACACCATATAGCTAGTTTTGCATTTAAGAATACAGTCATTTTTATTAGCTCTACTGGTCAGAGACCATAAAAACGTATGCATTGGTGTCCGTCTGTCTGTCTGTAAACATTTTTTTTTTTTTTCAAAATGCTACTCCTCCTACAGTATTGGTCCAATTTCAATAAGATTTGGTATACTAATAGACTACATTAAGATACATTATTCTGTTTATGGGTTTTTGATTTTGACAAAAGGCGTTGCCATTGTTACTAAAAATAGTGATTTCTTTGAAATTCTTTCAAAAATGCTACTCCTACAGTTTTGGTCCAATTTTTACAAGGTTTGGTACACAATTAGACAACAAAGATGACTTGTTCCATTTTTGTTATACCTCTCTTCAAAGGAGGGATGTCATATTGCTTTGCTGCTGTCTGTCGGTCTACCAACAGTTTCCGTTCATTTTCTTCGCAGAGGTTGCACGTACTGAAATAAAATTGTGTATACAGATTTATCATAAACATCTAGATCAAGTTTTGTTTTGGGTACGATGGACCAATTTTTGACAGAGTTATGACCCTTGGACTTGGAAAAATTTCAATTAATGGGGGGGGGGGGGGGGGTGTAAGTGTTTCACAAACATCTCTTGTTTTATTTATTATGATGAAAGATGTTGCCATGGTTACCAAATAAAAAAATCTGAGAATTTTTTTAAGTGCTACTCCTCCTAAAGTTCAAGTCTGATTAGACTTCTTGTGCGAGTAGATTTCACTAAAATACAGTGTACATCTTTATTATGAGTACACACCAGTAGAGCTTCATTCGAATCCCACTGCGGGACGTGGAGACCGGTCCTTCGGATGAGATCGTATAAACCGAGGTCCCGTGTCGCAGTAAATGTAGCTGTTGGCATGAAAAAGATCCCTTACTGCTCAATGGCCTTGAGTGCCAAACCCGACACATCTCTTGAAAGTCCTGTTTTGATTTTATACCAGCCAACTTACTCAGCTGAGATACAAGTTGCCAGAATTCCTCTTCTACTTTACCAAAACAGCTCAGCAAAGCTTTCGTATTTTTGAAATTCAGTATTTTTTGTTTACATTTCCAAAGGGCGGAACCTTTTGGGTATACGAATGTCTTGAAATCGTGGAGACTGGTCCTTCGGATGAGATCGTATAAACCGAGGTCCCGTGTCGCAGTACATGTAGGTGTTGGCATGAAAAAGATCCCTTACTGCTCAATGGCCTTGAGTGCCGAGTATAGGTCAAAATTTGTAGCCCTCCACCGGCAAGTTGTGGCGTCTCCATATGAGTGAAAAATTCTGGAGAGGGACATTGTGCATTTAAACAACAAACAATCAATCAATCAATCGTAGAGATTTCTGGTTACTATATAAATTAGTATAATACATGCTAAAAAAAAATCAATAATTTTTCAGTGTTTAAATAAAAATTACAGATATTAAGACAGAAAGTATGAAGCAAGACACATTGTTGAATTAACCTTGAAACATGTAAAGACTTAAGAATAGACTAAAAATCGCAGACAAGGTTTCACTAAGGTTGCCAGAGAGTCACTAATTTTTTTTTATCGTACTTTGTCCATCGTTTCCTAGGGAAACTAGCAATTACAACTTCTCAAGATTTAAAGTGTCTACTTAAAACATATTCGTATGGCAAGGTGTCCGTTTGTGATGTTGATTTAATTTTGTTTGAAGGAGAGATCATGTCTTTTCCATCTGGGGATAATAATTCTGGACAATAAAGTCTGAATACACATTCCTAAAATATCTGTTCCTCTTCGTAAAAGGCCTATACATTAAATTAAACTAAGTCATAATTAATGATTATCTCTTGAAGCACAACAAGGATACAAGTTGTGAAAATTGTATATGATGCATATGGATTCAAGTTCTTTCAAACCATTGCCTTAGCGGTCAGCATGATGAAACTTTTTTCTTCAAAGTTTGTTTACACACGATAATTGAATGATTTTTATCAATCTTAGATGATCAAAGTCCTGCATCTTCAAGAAGATTTTCATAATCATGCAACGGTCTATCGCTAGGAAGGAAATCATCTGGGTTAGTTCGAAGTAAAAGATCAGCGAGTTCACGCCTGCTACGCTGAGTTCCTTTCCATTTTCGAATTTCAGATATGGGAGTATTTAGAATTGTTTGAACCACATTCTTGGATCTTACATCTCCATGTCTGGTTAACACATCCCAGTACTCATATTCCTTTGAAGACTGATATCCAGGATGTAGTTGTGAATATAGTATTGAATGGTATATCAAGCGATAACTCAACTCTGATACCAATTCTGAATCAAGAAATAAAGAAAACGGTTTCATTATTTCATGTTCGTATAAGTAGGTAACTATGAACCATGGTATCTGGGTACTTCTTTTCAGTATTACATATTTACTCCATCGTTTCAAATTTACCATTTTGGATATGATTAAGAGACAGAGTTCACTGCTCTTCCTTATTTTCATTTCACGCGTTAACCTTTTCAATTCAAGCTCCAAGGTGTTATATTCCATCAAGTGCATGTATTTATATACTTTTGGATTTTTCCAATACATATTTAACTCTGTGATGATACATTCAAAATTGGATCTTGCAGAATTGACATCATCGTATCTGCAAACCCGACACATCTCTTGAAAGTCCTGTTTTGATTTTATACCAGCCAACTTACTCAGCTGAGATACAAGTTGCCAGAATTCCTCTTCTACTTTACCGAAACAGCTCAGCAAAGCTTTCGTATTTTTGAAATTCAGTATTTTTTGTTTACATTTCCAAAGGGCGGAACCTTTTGGGTATACGAATGTCTTGAAATCGTACGCAAACTTTAGATATAAAGCAGCAGAAGGACTAATTAAGTATGAAATCAATTTCATTTTTAGTAAATATTGTGAATCATGACTCAAAATACTTAAAAGGTATGCTGTAGAAATGTTTAGACGATTTATACAATATGAATTCTGTTCTCCAAAGTTTTCTTTAATAGCCTCTAAAACTTTCATAAGACCTTTAGCGGCGACAATATGAGAAAAGCTGAGAGACGTTGATGTATTGTTGCATATTTGCATTGTTGTTCTTGTCGTTAATAGTGTTGTATTTTTTGCAATGTATTCTTCAATCAAATCATACATTTTACTTCGTAAAAAATTAGAACGAAAAACATACTCGTTGCTCTGTAATGGCAAGTTTGATGAAATGAATTCCTTGATTTCTAAATATTTCGAAGTACACGGCTTGTAATCAACTAGCAACTCCAAAATGTCTCTATCATCTTTGGTTTTTATATTTGCATCCATTCCAGTGGTTAATAAAAATTTAAATCCAAGGAAATTACCACTTACAACTGTCCTGTGTAATGGATTTAACCCTTCCTCATCATAGCAAAAATTCATATCAGTGCAGTTTATTTTCATCTCCAAAAAATGCTGCAAGTGAATACGGAACGATCCCTTTGGGTCCTCCATCAATTTGTGAAATGCAAATCTTTTGGAATCACGACAGTTGCATTTTAAGAATTCTGATATCGGCAAAAAATAGAAATACTCATGATCTATGTAGTCCAAGGTAGGGATAATTCTGAGAGAATCTTTCATACTGAAGAAAAAATCATAACTACATTCTTTGCGTTGTAGACATTTTGTCCACAAAGTATCAAGAATAAGCACATTCCCACGCTGCAAGCAGTGTTTAATGTATGTAGAAATTTTCTTTTTGAATATATCATTTGAAAATGATGTTTCAAGGATTAAATAAATGAAATACTGATGTGGATTCATACTAGCGATCTTCGTAGTTCGACAAAAACTATTATACGGTGGTGAGCAAGTAAAGCTTGTTTTTTTTGCTGGGAAATCATTAATTTTTGGCAAATGTTTAAAAGCCAAATCCAGTATTGTTTCATTGTTGATGTCAGGAAGACTTAAAAACTTCTCCCATTTATTCTGATTCCAACGGAATTCTAAACAAAGTTGAAGAAAATTAATATTTCCATTAATAGCAGCATAATGCATTGCAGTTCTCCCTATATCATCTTGAAAAAATAATGCTTCTGCTATTCTTCGTAGAACTTTTTTATCAGAGTTTTTCCAATAGCCCTTGACGGATTTTGCAACTTCATATTTAAAACTTTCACTCCGAGCAAGATAATGAACTACACTCTGATTCCTATAATCGAAAAGAGTTTCAGAAATTCTTAGTAAAAGATTAGAAAGAAGGTCATATTGCTTACAAATGGCTGCTGAGTGCAGTGGAGTTGATCCATTATATGATTTTATATAATATTCTGTTTCAAAATGACTACTTAGTTCCATTCTGCCTCTACAGGCTAGGTAATGTAATGCTGTTGCACCAAATGCGTCGCGCTCAGTCCAGCAGGCATTTCTAAATTTATCATACATCATAAGTAAGTTATGCGAACTTCCAAACTCTGCAACCATGTGAAAAGTGGACACGTTATTCA